AATTAGTCTAGTTGTTTTATAGATTTCATTCTGCTAGGCTACTAGAAGTAGCTTGTCCCTGGTTTTAGTCCTAAATTTTCTTTCTATTCTACTCTGTTCTTCATAGAATAATTCTTCCATGTAAATGTTCACAAAAGAAATCTTTTAGGGGCTGGGGGTATAGCTCAGTAGAATAAGTGCTTCCCTGGTAAGCGCAAGGGCCTGAGTTCAATTCCCAGTTCCACAAAAAAAAAAAAAGAAAGAAAGAAATCTTTGTATTTTACCATTCCATTTCTGATGCACATTTATATTTTACCCTCACTTTTCTACTAACTTTAATTTGAATAGGATAACACTTCTAAATGATATATTTTAACAGCAACCATTGCCTTGGAAGTCATGAACATATTCAAAACTGTCGAAAATGGGACACAGAGATTAAATTACAACTCTTGACCTTCAGTGCAATGTGCCAGAATCTAGCCCGAACAGTAAGTATGTGTGTACCTTCTAACTGAATTGTCCTTAGTAAGTCTGAATACTTGTGTTAATTAGTCAATTTTTAATTTGTACATTTTCCAAGATTTCTGGGTTGCATTGGGGTAATGTACTAGTTATTCTCATTAGGTGTTTTCTCAGCAGCCAGAGGGAGATTTTTTCAGTCACAGAAACTTAGGGAAGTGTATGTCCTCAGAGCTAGAAGTATACATGAAAATCAAAATGTAGGAATTAGGGTCAGGGAGATAGTTCAGCAGCGTAAGTGCCTGCCTGGGAAGTTCAAGGTCCTGAGTTCAATCCCCCGTACCCCCCCCCCAAAAAAAAATCCAATATAGGAATTAAATGTTTGATTGTTAATAATTTTATATAAGAATGAATACCTCAGGGTCAGTAAAGAAGAAGTGAGGAATGAAAGACTTTTGGATGCTAACAGTGTCTGGAGGAAAAAGATCCGCATTGAGCTTTGTACCAGACTGATAAATTATTTCTCACAAAATGAAAACTCATTCTCTGATGTAAAATTTCAGTATTTTCTTTTGAAATTAAAGCAAAGTAAAAGGTAGGAAACTTAGCTAACTTTTGTAAAATACACTTTGATTTTCCTAAAACTCTTTTGATGAATTTATAAATTTTGAATTTATAAAGAGGATTACTCATTTAGTAGAATTTTGTATTTCACAATAGTCATGTTGGGCCAGGGATATAGCTCAGCATCACAACACCTGCCTGGGAAACTTGAGGTCCAATTTTCATAGCAATAAAAGTTCTTATATATGCTATATTTGCAGATATATCATAATTGAGTTGGACATCCCCCAGTGGTCTCAATATTTTGGTTTCTGTGTTTCAGTGCTATAAGTAGTACTGTGATGATAATTTTTACATAAATAATTGTATATAAAAACAAAATTTGCCCAGAAATCCACCTCGATATCGGATGTTTCCCTCTGTCTCCTCCTCTAAGTAAGATTCTTTATGCACCAGCATTAACGATAATAAAAATTTCTTGTTCTGTGTAAAAAAAAAAAATAAATAAAAATTCTTTTTTTTTTCCCTAGGATTTTTGTCCCTCTGTTTTAAGTAGAACTTATTTCAGTTGGGTAGACACTTTCACAAAATTCATTGCCTTTTGGCAATCATTGGTTAACATTTTTCCAGTTTCCTAAGGACGGATGTTCTTGTACATTTACATAGTGTGGAATGGTACATGTAGTACCTTTTTTTTTATGGTAGGTCAACACAGAGTGGGAAGGAATATGATTATCATGAGAAAAAATAAAGCAGAAATTCAAATGATCTCTATCTGATCCCCATTCTAATTTTGCTTTAAAGGGTGATTTTTATATCAGAAACTAGATTTAAAAACATTTATATTTTCTATTTAAAAAAGTGTTTTTTTGTTTTTTAAGCAATATTGTCTTGGTTACTTTTCTCTCATTGCTGAGACAAAATACCTGACACAAAATTAAAGAAAGAAAAGTTTATTTAGCTCAAAGTTAGTGGAGCCCATACTCGGCTGGTTCCAAGGCAGATTGGCACATGGCAGAGGGCAGCAGCTCATGATGGTGGAAAATAGCAAAAAGCAGAGGGCGGAGCAGCCGCTGTGGCAGCTAGCAAGCCTCTCTCCCTTCCCCACATTGTACTCAGGCTATCTGCCCCAGGGCCAGTGTAGGGCTTGCATCCATAATGCCAGCTTTGGATCATGAATTAATCACAAACTCTAGAAGTCTGCCCCAGTGACTACATGAGGCTTTGAGGAAACAAGTAAACACAGATCATAACAAATACTGGCTCATTTTCTAAGTCCATAACCAATAATATTTAATTTTGGTACCATTTTATCTTCAGTTCTAAAAAGTCAATTTAGTTTAATAGACCATAGAATGCACAGCATTTTTGTTGTTGTTGTTGTAGTAAACCTTTGTATATTTATGTGTTTGTTTAGGCAGAAGATGATGAAGCACCTGTGGATTTAAATAAATACCTGTATCAAATAGAAAAACCTTATAAAGAAGTCATGACAAGGTATAGCATCTAAAACAGTAATTACATTAAATATAAGACCCAATGCTATTATAGGCTACTGGACTCTTTTAGAATATTTTGCTGAGTTTACACACCTATAATATTCAATAACGGA